CAAAAATTCGTTAGGTCAGAAAACCACAGATGGCAGCAGAGAGAGAGAAAGAGGAATAGGACAAAACAGTTTGTTATTCAGCTGGAAGCAAGGATGACTAGTCATATGAGAAACGGATGACTAGTCATCATTTTATGAAGACTGTTTAATGTAATGATATGCAATGCACAATACCTTTGTTAACTTGCATGAGCTACCATAGAGCAAAGATTAGAGAAGAGCACCAATAAAAGTTTTCCCTAATCTAGACTTGAGCTTGATAAATTACATTACACATCCTATTACAAAGTTGTCAAGGGAAACCAAAAGAAAATAGTAAAAACCATACATTAACACCTTGTTACAGTATACATGTCACCGAAATTTAAACTAGATATAGTCTTTGAAATTTGTACAGCATGGCATACGTAGTGAATGCCACTATACTATTTACCTTCCCTATCCATCTCATTTGAGGAGATTGTTGTCCAGTCTGCAGGTTTGTATCGGAAATCTGAAGTATCTTCTTAGAGAAAGTGCATGAACTCCTCTGATGTGGGTGTGTTTTCTTTCATCTCTTTTGTTATAGTTCCAAGTGTAACGTGTTTATATTTCTTATTTTGAAGAGGGGAAGGGGGAAGAGGACGAGGGTGTTTGGGAAATATTCTGCTGTTAGGACTTTCTCTGGTGTCCGTTAGCTAATCGATCCCATCAATCAGTCTGACTTGTCTACACTCGTCTTCATGCAGTAACAGAGATAAGGGTTCAAATACAAATGGAGTGTAATTTACGGAACAGAAAAAAGAGACAAGTGATCTCCAGAAGGAAGTTCCGGCTGCTTCGTTCAATGCTGATGAGAGACCCGAGGAGAGACCTGAGGAAGAACAATAAAGGCAACGAATACATATGGAGCATATGGACAACTAGTGGTTGAACCTCCAAATGATTTCATTTCAGCTGTTGTGTATCAACAGCATCCTAAGGAGGATGGTATGTGCAACTTTGTCTGTATATAGGGGAAAACTTCATTTCCCTTGTTAATTTTTGGAGGGGAGTGTTGGGATCGGTTTGTATGGTGAATGGTAAACTTCTCTTAGGAATTTATTCACTTCCCATGAAATCCAGATTTATCCTAAAGATAGACCTACTAAGCAATAGCTAATTTGTTGTGTGGTTGCCCGTGATTTATCCGTCTATTTCATGTATATGTTTGTATTTTCCTTCATAATAAAGTGTATGCTAGAGTTGCAGATGCAGATGTGACGAAGATAACTACCAGGTTCTTTGTAAATCTGTTAAGGAGTATCGAACTACGTACGATGAAGGAATATTTCCAGGCAATGCTTCCATAGAACACAGAACACTATACATCATACATACAATGTATTAGAAACTAGAGGAAGCCATTGAAGTGTATAAACTCAATATCTTTTTCCGAAAAAGAATAGTCATTTTAGGGTTTAGGGTAAATATTACCTTCGATATTTTAATTTGAACCTATGATGGTGACACAACAATGGTCATTCATGCCTAGTTGCCTAGCAAGTCTTTCAATCAAAATACAGTCATAAGAGAAGAACAAAATGTTGAGATAAAAACCACCTCAGACATTTTCTAAATAGATGGATTCTCACATCTTCAAGCATAAGAATATAATAGACTATGTCTTGCAAATTGCAATTCATTTACAATAAAAACAATACACGATGTAGATATCAAAATGATAGAATGCATGGCATTTATGACAAAAACGACTTTAAAAAGCACTATTCTCTCCTTTGCTTTAACTCTAAATTACGATTAAATCTCCATTCTCTACCCTTCCAAAGGGAAGATCCCGACAGAAAAATAACCAGTATAAGGATCGCAAGTAAAACCATTATTCCTATTGCGTTTCGGGCACTCAAAAGACAAGTGTTCACCTTCCTTCCCATATATTGCATCCACATACACGACATGCAACCACACAACGCTCGCCAACAATTGCATCCTTTGGGACTTTATACCTATAAGAGCATATTTGCGTAGGGTGCTCATCCACCTTTAAACAATACTGACATTCACCTGTGTGCAATTTGTAGATCTATTGTTAAATACAACGAAAGCAATACAAATAATCATTTTTTAAAGACAACGAATGAATTAAGATATGGTAAAACCCAAAAATAAGTATTGTGAGCACACTACATAGAATAACAACAAATACATAGATATAATGTAAACAGAAAAGAAGCATGCACTTTTTTTTTGTCCCTATAATCAAAAGCTTACCAAGAAGATTAGGAGGGAGGAGAGAGGACGCTATCACTTACCAATAATATAGTTAGACTATCGCTTGTATTAAAAAAAAAAAAATCAAAAGCATACCAATATAGCGTCTTTTTTCATCCTTTGATTCTTCAATCTCTGATTCTTTAACCCTCGATTCATCAGACTTGCCCCATGTTTCCATGCAATTACACTATTAAACACAAAAAGAAAAAAGAAGAAAAAGGGTGATGATGTCAAAGAAGTTAGAAGGAGTGGAGAAGTCGTCTTTTTAACATGTGAGCTATTTTCAACATTAAATGCATAGATATTATGTCATAAAATATAGAACCTCTTGTCTCTAAAATAGAGAGCATGCCAATAGAATTAGGAAGGCGGAGGAAAGACTATCGCTTGTATTGACACCAAAAAATAACAAAAGCATACCTCTATGACTAGGAGGGCCTGGGAACACATGAAAATAAGTACGAAGTTCTTCTTCCGTTAGTTCTGCTAGGTTTATAGTCCATGGTTCAGTCTCTGGTTCTTTAGCTTGTTATCTGTTTGCATGCAATTACATTATTAAAGACCCAAAAAAAAAAAAAAAATTAGAAAAGAATGGGTGATGATGTCAAAAAAGTTAGAAGATTGAATGACATCTATGATCCCGTCAACAAATAGCTATATTATTAAATATCAGCTTTCCATCAGACACACACCATAATAACTTTGCTGGAAAAATAATCATCTTTCAAAATTGATTCAAATTGGCATAATATATATCCTCTAATTACAGCAACAAAAATAAAATAAAAACAACACTTTCTCTTTTCCAAAGAATCAAATTTCATATCATCTTCCCCACAACCCCTAAAAAAAAAAAATTACCAATATCATAAGGGAGGATATAACAATATTACTGAGTGGAGGTCCTTGACTGGACCCTTCCGTCCCTGCTACTAGACAGACCAAAAATTAAGTAGTTTCAATGTAAAAAGATAAATTTTCATACACAAAAGTCGTGGCATAAAATTTAAAGCCCATTAATTAAATTGCAGATAGTCTTGGTCCTTGAATTAAAATAAAAACGAAAAGCATGTATACTTACCGATTATTGTTGTATCGCAATTGAGGGAACCATAGCTGGCGAGAAAAGGTCTTTTCCACAGCCCTCCTTATCCAACACCTCCGTCTGGGAATCCAATTTCAGGCACTCCGAAGATGAGACATTGTCCATGGCTGTGTAGAGTTTGGTGTTTGGCTTTGCGCTTGTGTGAGAAAAAAACGACGGCCGGTTTGGGTTTGGGTTTATGGTGAATTGTGAGAGAGAGAGAGAGAGGGGGGGAGAGAGAGAGAGAAAGAAAGAATGTGTTTCTTACTTACATGTTATATAGGTGGTTTGGCTCGATTGAATTATGACCATATTAATCAATATTATTTTTTCCATTTCAGTCTTAATTAAATAATAAATTATCATTAAAAACCAAGGCAAGAATATTTTGGTGATTTTGAGTCCCAAATAAAGGAAGTTAATTAATGTGGTTTTTCCTTTGTTTTACGTTTCATTTTCTTTTCAAGTTTGTGAGTCTTGTTTGTGACTCTTGAATATAAACTTCCAATCCAATCCCATTCCCCTCTGTCCTCCTTCCTCTTTTCCTTTCTTTGCATCTCCTCCTGCTCTGTTGCCTGCGCAAGTCCTCACTTTATTTATTTTTTCTTTAACAATTATTTTGTGTGCTAATTTGTCTTCCACCATTGGTTTTGCCTTTTCTTTTTTCTCTTCGCGCGTTTCTTACATACATATAGGCGGTTTGGCTTGATTGAATAACCGACTTCTTCTTTTTTTTCTTTTTTTTTTTGTATAAATATTTCATATGATATATTTTGCAAGGCTTATAGATCCCATCATTAATAGTTACATGTAGAATGAGTGTGTCAAAAAATCAGAAACGTGCACCTTTTAACGAATGAATTATTCTTCTTTCTTATCATTTTTTTTTTCCTTTGCTTGTATATGAAATATAAAAGCTTAATGAAAATGTCTTGTTCCATAGTTCATGTGTGTGATTTAGCACAATTTGTAACTCTTCTACTTGTACCCTTTTTAAAATGTCAGCAATTCTGACATTATTATTCCACATGTGGACGCTACATTTTTATTGCCATCTGCAGAAACTCCTCCACTGTCAGCACTAGCAACTAACTAGAGGGGTCTTAAACTCAAACAGTGATCAATTACAAACAGAAAATATGGAATAATGCGTAAGATGGCATTGCCTTATTCAGAAATATTAAGGTTTGTTGGGCCTTTAAACCAAAAGGTCAATGTCCACGACATTGTGCTTGCTTTCGATAAGTAAAAATAATAATAAATAAAAAAAGGAAAAGACATCTTCAAGTAGGACGAAATCCAGACACCTTGGTTCCTTCATCTCGAGTCTAATAATGCAAACGGGTCAAGAATCGCACGTCCTTCATCTCGTCCGCAACAGAAGCCCTCAAAGATGTCTCCACACACCTTACAAAGGACAACACAATATTTGCCCACAGGTGCCCCCTTTGGGACACTATCCTTGTATGGGCATCCTCCCGTATAGTGTTCATCTACCTTTAAACAAAAGGTACATTCACCTGTGTGCAAGTATCGTGAGTAACGTTGAATAACAACAAATATATAGATATATTATGTCATAAGAAGATTAAAAAAATGAGAAGCTGCAGAAGCAAGGGTTGAATCGGAATGTGTTAACATGGTATCTAAAAATTTTGTTTCTTGTTTTTTATTTCGTATAAAATCAAAAGCATACCAGGAGGACGAGGAGGGCCGCTTAGGAAATCAGAAGCAGTGCACAGTTCTTCAAACGTTAGCAGTTTAGCCTTTTCTTCTTCAGTCTTTGTTTCTTCAATGTTTACAAAATAAATAAATAAAAGGGAGATGATGTCAAAACCCAACAAATCAGTTGAATAATACCAAATATATTAATATAATGCCATAAGACAAGAAAACATGAATCTTTGATGAAAGATATATATAATTCGTGAAGTTGCAGATGCATTCAAACACTGTAAACATAAGAAAGCACTAGTACTTCAAGTAATTATCCATTAGTCTACTAACAATCCAAATCAAAAATAGCTTTCCTCCAAAAAGAATTCCAAGTCAATACTACGAGATGAAATTTTACTAGAACCAAAACATAAGTATGTAACTAAATTGCAGATCATCTTCGTCACAAACCCTTAAATTAAACTTAAAAGGAAAAACATACCAGTTGGCTTTGGCCAGTAGAACTTCAAGAGATCGATCTCGGAATTCGATCTCTTGCACTTAGAGGATGAGAAGAAGTCCATGGCTGCGTGCACGCGAAAGAGAAAGCCCTGCGAGAGCCTGGGAATTAGGGTAATTTGTGAGGAAAAAAAAAACGCGGTTCTTATATATAGGCGTCTTCTCACCGCAAATATAGAAAGTAATGAAGAAAAAAAAAAGGTGGCGTTTATCTCAAGTCAAGTCATAACAACCGACCTAGACGAGCTTCCCTTTTTGAGTTTTCAATCTCTGAAGCCCTCTTTCTTCGAGGGTCCGCTAATCGGCGTCGCTGGAGGTCGAGAACTCCAGGCCGCAGTCAATTCTCGCGATGTCGACTTTGATGGAGGAGGCACAGGAATTTGGGGGATGATGGAACATTGGATGAGCTTAAAAGGAATCTTCACGATTATCTCACGATACTTGCTGTTATGAAGTGACACTACCATTTTGCTTTTATTTTAATTTTCAATTTTTAATTTTTATGTTCATTAATTTAATGAGCTGTTGGAATTGCATCTCAATGCCCTTTTTCCCTCGACTAGATCTCGTTGGCCCAATTTACCTTTTTTTATTTGCTATTATGGAAAGTCTTTTAAAATAAGGAAGTAATGAAAGTTTTATAAAAAAATTCAAATCAGGTAGCACAATGAGCTACCTAATACGTTATTTTTAACTTTCTTGTTTTAATATATAAATTTAACTTTTAATATTTGGTTCCTTATTAACTAAGTTATCTTGTTTTAGAAGTCTAATTAAGAAAATCTATTTCTTAGTATTTGAAAGTTTCCCTAAATTCTGCGTTTGCGTTATATATAATAGTCTTTTCCTTTTCTTTCTCTTTCACTATCTCTCTTTGTCCTAGACCAAAAAAATATTCTCTCTTCGTTTTTGTGCGTTTCGGGTTTAGAAGTTAGATGACTCTGTTTCCGTTATCCATGGGTGGCTCAGCCAAGGATGTGCAATCCAAGAAGGAGCTTGATAGCGTGGTTCACAGTGGTTCACCCGTTGTACTGCACTTCAGGGCTTCGAGGTGTGAGGCTTCGAAGCACATAGACGAGGTCTTTGCCCACCTCTCTACTGATTTCCCTCATGCCCATTTCTTAAGGGTACGTATTCTTCTTATCTATGACTGGGTTTTTTCTGGTGTTTTTGTGTGTGTGTGTGTGTGTGTTGGTGTTTTAATTTTAATCTCCAATTGCGGATAAATGTTGTAGGTAGAAGTTGAAGAACAGCCTGAGATATCTGAGGCTTATTCGGTTTCTGATGTGCCGTACTTTGCCTTTGTGAAGGTATACATGTTTCCTTACTTAGGTTGTTGGATGTGAGAATATATTGTTTCACCTTTCAACAAAGTTGTGCATTTAAATAGTCAGGTTCTGTGAAAATATGGGTATTTAGTTTGAAATTGAGTTCTGGGGGTGGTTTCAAATTGAGTTTTGGGATTTATTGTTATCGATAAGTATGTGATGATAATAGTAGCAATATGATTGTTTTTAATGGGACAGAAGTTCAATATGATCGCTTTGTTTGTTTGGGTGACTGGAGAAGGACTAGGATCTGAGGACGATGACATTGAAATATCAGATATTAAGACTAGCTTTATGTTATAAACCTTTATCAATTCTCTGATTGTTCTGTATCTTGGTCGTTTTTTGTTTGTGCCTTCTTTTGTCAGGATGGAAAAGTCTTTGATACATTAAAAGGTGCAGATCCATCTAGTTTGGCCAATAAAATTGCTAGGGTTGCTGGGTCAGTTAGGCCTGAAGAACCTGCTGCTCCTGCCAGCCTTGAGACAGTCCAAAAGTTAGCAAAAGAAAACGAATCTTTCCACAAGCAAGAGCAAACTCAAGCACAAAATGTCCTTAATGATCCCTTGAAAAGGCGTCTGAAGCAGTTGATTGATTCTAATCGACTCATGCTTTTCATGAAAGGAACCCCTGAGGAGCCCAAATGTAAAGTTAGCCAAATTGCCGTTGACGTGTTGAGGGAGGAGAAGATCAAATTTGGAAGTTTCGATGTTCTTTCGGACAATGAAGTCATGGAGGGGATACAGAAGTATTCTAACTGGCCAACAATACCGCAGCTATACTACAAAGGGAAGCTTGGTGGTTGGTGTCACATAGCAATTTTAATGCGTCGTAGTGGTGAATTAGAATAAGTTTCCACAGTTGAGATAAATAATTTATGAATGATCAACAATGAAATTGTTGGTTAGAAATTAGAATAACACAACTGAACACCTGTAGACTGAATTTTTGTATTATGTAATCAGCTTGTGAAATTGCTTCTTTAGACAATTTGGCCCCTTAAGATTGTGTTTTAAGTCTTTGATGCTGTCCGAGAGTTTAATGGTTTGAACTTCGAGATGCATGCATGAGTTTAATTATGTAACAAGATTCTGAAGTAGTTTTTTTTTTTGGTTAGGTCTGTTAATGCATGTATAGAAGATACGGTGATAGCCCTGCATTCTCCTTGTTCTGTTTATGCAGAAAAGATATCTGGGGTAGCCTAATTTGGGTGTTATATATATCTCGATATTATTATGTATACATATAAAAGAATTTCACGATTAAACTTCCCTAGGAAAATTTCTTTGTCCTTGAGAACATTGAAAGCCTTTTGTGTTAATGTGTCTATAGCCATTCGTGAGAAGAAGAAGAAAATACGCAGTTCTTATATATAGACGTCCCCTCACCGCAAATATATATAGAAAGTAATGAAGAAAAAAAGGTGGCAGTTATCTCAAGTCAAAGTCATAACAACCGACCTAGAAGAGCTTCCCTTTTTGAGTTTTCAAGCTCTGAAGCCCTCTTTCTTCGAGGGTCCGCTAAACAGCGTCACCGTAGGTCGAGAACTCCAGGCCGCGGTCATTTCTAGCGATGTCGACTTTGATGAGGAGGCATAGGAATTTGGGGAGATGATGGAACATTGGATGAGCTTAAAAAGAATCTTCACGATAATAGCTCTAAGAAGCCATATGTATCACCAAATGAAAATTCCAGAGCTTCAAAGCCCAACTATCGTCCGGTTTCAGAGTGGGCAGTGAATTATTGGAAAACATTATGTGAAGAAAGAGAGAAGTGATCTCCAGAAGGAAGGTCTGCCTGCTTTGTTCAGTGCTTCTGAGAGGCCCGAGGAGAGACCGGAGAAGCTACCAAGAAGAAACAAAGGAAACGGATTGATATTGGACAACTAGTGGTTGAACCTCCAAATGATTTCATTTCAGATTGAAATATTGACAGCATCCATCCTTGTCTATTATATATGGGGGAAACTTCATTTCCCTGGTTCTTTTTTGGAGGAAAATGTTGGGATCGGTTTGAATAGTAAATGGTAAACTGCTCCCAGGAATTTATATCCTTGCTTGTATTTTCCTTCATAAATAAAGTGTAGGTGCTAGAGTTGCAGACGCAGATGACGAAGATAACTACCAGGTTCTTCGTAAAGCTCTGTGAAGGGAGTATCGGACTACCATGAAGGAATATTTTCAGGCTGTATGTGGCTTTTTAGGTTTTAGTATTTTATTTGCATTTATTTGATCTATAAAACATGGAGAGTAGTTTCTCTTAGTTGCCTTAAAATTTCACACATTGAGTAAGGATATCAATTTTCTTTTGTTAGAGGCATTTGCTACGGAGGATCATGATCGAGCAAACAAAACTTCTAGAACAAGTAAAGGGAGGCTTACTGCAGGCTCATTTGCTTGTATACGAAATAAATGCTTCAAAATTTGAACAAGGGGCAGTTTCACTTCTTGCAGATACCAAGCCGGAATTGATCATGAGGTGAAATGGTGCTTGACTTGCATGAACGCGGTGCCGAGCCGAGGAGGCAATACGTCTTTTGAAGTGTCAAATTTCTTCATTTTCTGGAATTTTCTTATGTTCCTAGTTATTCTTTGAACTTTGTTTTCTTCTTAATTGGAATTATTTTTTGTTGTCTTCTCGTCAGCAATCAAGTGTCTCGAGGTCATTATTGATACACAAGAGGAAGAGATCTCAAAAGGATCTCGTGGACGAGAACATTGGTATGACTGGTTCATAATTACTTGCTGCATCTGTTTGAACAATGCTCTATACTTGGCATATGTTCTTTTTTCTTTTTTCTTTTTTCTTTTTTAAATAAATTCACAACACATGCATCTCTCAAAAAAAAAATCTAAAATATAAATTGATAAAAGTATTCTGCATCTTGAATTAGTAGAAGTTTCTCCATTGTTGAGAAAGTCGCTCTTGATAGCCCATTTCTACAAACACAACCAAATTAATATAATGAACCTACGGCTCAAAGAACCCATTTCTATTGTCTACCACACACACATTTCAGCTAAACATGCAGATCAAATCATTAACCTGCACTACAAGTGTGCATCTTGGATCAATTAACAGATTCCGTGTGTGGATGGCAAAATGGTGAAAATATACTTGTACACAAAATATGATAGCTTTATGTGATTAGCATTTTTTGCAACTCTTTTACTCTTTTTTAAATGTCAGCAAGTCTTTTACATTATTCCACAGTTCCTTCCAAGTTTTAACGGTTTCTGATCAATGTGGTGTTGACGCTCCCTTTTTTTATTGCCATCTCCAGAACCTCCTCCACTATCAGTACAGCACTAGCAGCTCATGAGCCAAATGCTTTCTATTAAAAAATAAATATAAAGGAAAGACATCTTTGAGACGCATAAATAGAATAGACCATGTGTTGCAAATTGCAATTCACTTGCGATGATAGCTCTCAGACCCGAACTCCATCATCCAAAGAAACATGTTTCGCGAGCCTACCAATCTTGGGAATCGCCCGCCCTTCGTCTTTACCACAACATGACTCTTTTTTAAAGAAGAGTCCACAAACCTTACATATTACATCGCAATTACTACCAACTTTTGCATTCTTTGGGACACTGACCATGTATGGGCAATTTGACCAATAATGTTCATCCACCTTCAAACAAAACTTACATTCACATGTGTTCAATTTGTATATCCCTTATTAAATACCACAATAAAAATAACTAGTAAACAAAATAAAAGAGATTGAATATGGCATAAGAAGAGGAAAAAAAAAGAATTTATGATCAAACATATGTAAATGGAGAAGAGGGAGGCAAGGGTTTGGGGAATGGAGAAGGGTATCAAATTTATTTATTTATTTATTTTTGTTTCTCTTCAAAATCAAAAGCATACCACGAGGAATAGGAGGGCCCCATAGGAAAGAAAAAAAAGTAGCACATTCTTCATGCGTTAGTTTTCCAATCCTTGGTATTTCAACCTCGCTACCTGTTTGCAATTACCAATTTGTCTATCAACAATCCAAATCAATTATAGCTTAATTTGATCAATTAGCAAAGCGTTGCCACCATCTGCAAATATTTTCCCAAAATAAAAGAGAAAGGTGCAACACGAAAATATTTTGTTGAGAAATACAAAGTAATTCCTCTAAATTAGGACTCAAAAATAGTTTTTCTCGAAAAGTAATTCCAAGGTCAATTAGAAGTAGAATATTGTACGAGATGAAATTCTACTAGAACCAAAACGTAAGTATTTTTCATTGTAAAAAGGGAATTTATCATACACAAAATCTTTGTCACAAACCCTTAAATTAAACGAAAACGAAAAAAACATACTGACTGGCTTTGGCCGGTGGATTTGCATAAGTGGAGACACAAGGCCATCGTCCATGGCTATGTGTGCGCGAAAGAGAAAAATGCCGCTTGGGATTTAGGGTGAATTTGTGAGAGAAAAGAGATGGGGTTCTTTTTGTTTTTCAAGAGAGGCGGTTCTTATAGAGGCTTCACTGGGCTGCGTAACCTTGACGTCTATAGGAATCCTGCGCATCCTCACCCCGCAAATATAGAAAGTAATTTAAATATTTTAAATAAATAAAAAAAGAGGTTGCGTTTAGCTCTTCCCTTTTGTTAGGAGGGAAAGGTCGCTGATATATTAGAAGGTGCAGATTCATCTAGTTTGGCCAATAAAGTTGCTAGGGTTGCTGGGCCAGTTAAACCTAGAGAACCAAACTCCTCCTCCTCCTCCTCCTCCTCCTGCCAGCCTTGAGAATGTCTAAGAGTTAGCAAAAGAAAATGGATCTTCCCAGGAGCAAGAGCAAATTCAAGTGAAAAATGGCATTGATGATGCCTTGAAAATGCGGCTGCAACAGCTGATTGACTCTAATCAACTCATGCTTTTCATGAAAGGAAGCCCGGAGGAGCCCAAATGTAATGTTAGCCGAATGGCCGTTGACATTTTGAAGCAAAAAAAGGTCAAATTTGGAAGTTTCGATGTTCTTTTGGACAATGAAGTCATAGGGGATACATTCTAACTGGCCAATAATACCGCAGATTTACTACAAAGGGAAGCCTCGTGGTTGGTCTGACATAGAAATTTTAATGCGTCGTAGTGGTGAAATAGAGGAAGATTCTAGAGACCATGGAGTTGAAACTACTGATTCTGCTGGGGCAAAGGTAACTAAAGCTGGAAGTGGAAAGGTCGGTATCTCAGCAACTACTGGATTTTCCCAGGAGCAACTTCAAGCGCAAAATTTTCATAAAAAAATAATGCAAGCCCAAAATGGCGTTGATGATGCCTTGAAGAGGCGGTTACAGCAGCTGATTGACTCTAATCCAGTCATGCTTTTTATGAAAGGAACCCCTGAGGAGCCCAAATGTAAATTTAGCAAACTGGCAATTGACATGTTGAAGGAAAAGAAGATCAAATTTGGAAGTTTCGATGTTCTTGTGGACAATGAAGTCATGGAAGGGATACAGAAATATTCTAACTGGCCAGTATTGCCCGCAGCTTTACTTGGAAGGGAAGGCTCGTGGTTTGCGTTACATACGCACTCTAGAGCGTGGTTGTCGTGAATCAGAGGAAGTTTCCAGAGACCATGAAATCAACTCACAGAATTAAAATAATTAATTTATGAATTATCAACAATCAAATTGTTGGTTAGAAATTAGAATATACTTCTTGATTGTTACTCTTTTACGAAATGTGATTTTAATTTTGAAAGAAAAAAAGATATTGAGGCATTTGCAATGTAATTAATGACTTTAAATCAGACAATATTGCATTTTTTGTTTGAAATCAAGATAATTTATCTTTTATATATTTTCAACTCTTTTTCGGTTTGAGCTTTTCATATTATTGTCATACGGCTACTGTTCTTTTATTAATATGATGTATTGTTAGATTGTGGGACTACATACGAATTAATTCACATAATAAACGGTTTATATCCCATTTTAGTAAATTTAGGTTTTAGCCACAAAAAAATTTTCACTTTTGGAAAAAGCCAAAACTTTATCAAAAAAGACAGAAAAACCTCTTAACTTTCAAATCAAAGACATGCAAATGTAAAGGATTCCTTAGGAAATCCAAAAATAAATAAGGGCAATATTGTCTATTTTGACTTCTTTTATAAAATTTCTCTCTCCTTTATGTTTTTCCAAAGTCTCCCCCATAGTATATGGCCAGGAAACATTTGTTTGTCACAATGGGCACTTTACCTCTCTAATTCTCAATCCCAAATTTTATTAGCCTTGAAGATGCAATTCATAAAAATCAGGCCCACTGTTTTAGGTGCCCTAATCCCAGTTGACACAACTATCAGGCCCAAAAGACTAAAATACCCATAATGCCCAACTTTAATTCACCAATCAATATCGTGGGATTGGGATGGGACCCTCCATGATTCGCAGAAAGAAATCGACGGTGAGAGATGATATGCCCATCTATCGTAGACCCTCCATGATTCGTCAGCTGAAAGAATACGCCCACTCCGTCTTTTAGGTCTTTCTATGGCCATTCTCTGATATAAGCTCCAAAAGGGTCTTTGCCTCTTTCTTTCACTGTTCTGGTTTGTGGGTTTCGAATTTAGAAGACTCCGTTATCGATGGGCGGCTCTGTGAAAGATGTGCAATCGAAGAAGGAGCTTGATAGCGCGGTTCACAGTGGTGCACCCGTTATTCTGCACTTCTGGGCCTCGTGGTGTGAGGCTTCGAAGCACATGGACGAGGTCTTTGCCCACCTCTCTACTGATTTCCCTCATGCCCATTTCTTAAGGGTACGTATACTTCTCATCTCTAACTGGGTTTTTTTCTGGTGTTTTGTGTGTGTGTTTTGGTATTTTAATTTTAATCTCCAATTGCTGATAAATATTGTAGGTTGAAGCTGAAGAACAGCCTGAGATATCTGAGGCTTATTCGGTTTCTGCTGTGCCCTACTTTGCCTTTGTGAAGGTATGCTTATTGGGTAGTCTATACATGTCTCTATTTTGATGTGATGCTGGCTGATTTTGAGTAATCATAGTTAGGTTGGATGGTGTGAGGATATATTGTTTTCACCTTTTAAATGCAGTAACAAAGTTCTGCAATTAAATAATAAGGTTCTGTGGATGTGGGGCATTCAGTTTGCATCACACTTTCAGTATGTTGCTGCTATTGGCTAGTTATTTTCTGTGGCTGGTGGTTTCAAATTGCATTTTGGGGTTTGCTGTTGTTGCTAAGATTATGATAATAGTGGCAGTATGATTGTTTATAATGATATTTAAGTATTAATAGGCTCAGATTATGATGCCAAACTCAAAATGTGAGAGTGGGTGGTAGATGTTCAATAGGATCATCTGTTTGTTTGAGTGACTGGAGAAGGACTAGGATCTGAGGACAATGGCCTGGACTATGATGTGAACATCAGATATTAAAAGAAGCCTTATGTTATAAACCTGTATCATTTGAATGACTATCCATGGACTATGGTGCGAACATCCTATTGTTCTGTATCTTTTTCTTCTCTTCATCCTTTTCTGTTTGTGCTTTTTCTTTTGTCAGGATGGAAAGGTCGCTTATACATTAGAAGGTGCAGATCCATCTAGTTTGGCCAATAAGGTCGCTAGGATTGCTGGGTCCGTTAGGCCTGGAGAACCTGCTGCTCCCGCAAGCCTTGGGATGGCTGCTGGACCTACTATACTTGAAACAGTCCAAGCGTTGGCAAAAGAAAATGGATCTTCCCAGGTGCAGATTCAAGTACAAAATGGCCCTGCTGATGCCTTGAAAAGGCGGCTGCAACAGCTGATTGAGTCTAATCCGGTCATGCTTTTCATGAAAGGAAGCCCTGAGGAGCCCAAATGTGGATTTAGCCAAAAAGTTGTTGACATTTTGAAGGAGGAGAAGGTCAAATTTGGAAGTTTCGATATTCTTTTGGACAATGAAGTCAGAGAGGGGTTAAAGAAGTATTCTAACTGGCCAACATTTCCACAGCTTTACTGCAAAGGGGAGCTTCTTGGTGGGTGTGACATAGCAATTTCGATGCATGAGAGTGGTGAATTAGAGGAAGTTTTCAGAGACCATGGAATTGATACTACTGATTCTGCTGGGGCAAAAGTAACTGAAGCTGGAAGTGGAAAGGGCGGAATCTCAGCATCTACTGGTTTGAGTGAAACTCTGACCTCCCGACTCGAAAGCCTGATTCATTCAAGCCCTGTTATGCTGTTTATGAAGGGAAAACCAGATGAACCCAAGTGTGGTTTTAGCCGGAAGGTGGTTGATATCCTTGTGCAAGAAAAGGTGGACTTTGAGAGTTTTGATATTCTCTCTGACGAAGAAGTCCGTCAAGGGCTCAAAGTTTATTCAAACTGGTCCAGCTATCCTCAACTATACATTAAAGGTGAACTAATTGGTGGGTCAGATATTGTATTGGAGATGCAAAAGAGTGGGGAACTTAAGAAGGTTTTGGCAGAGAAAGGGATTGTTCCGAAAGATACTCTTGAAGATCGTTTAAGGAAATTGATTACTTCTTCACCAGTGATGGTCTTCATCAAGGGTACACCAGATGCTCCCAGATGTGGTTTTAGTTCCAAAGTCATCAATGCCCTTAGAGAAGAGGGTGTGAGTTTTGGTTCCTTTGATATTTTAAGTGATGAGGATGTGAGGCAGGGCCTTAAAGTCTTCTCAAACTGGCCAACCTTTCCTCAGCTTTATTACAAAGGTGAGCTGATAGGAGGTTGCGATATCGTAATGGAGCTGAAAAACAATGGAGAGCTTAAATCTACCCTGACAGAGTGAAACATAGCCTAGTTTTATCAAATAATCCCAGACAAGAGTTGAATTTGTATTCTGATGTGAAGTGTCTGCTGGCATTATACACATTCCAAAGTTTGCTTTAGATGCCTTATTGTTATAACATTTCGTATGTTTTGTTGTGTAATCAATGATTGCAAGCTTGGGATTAGTTATCAATTCTAAGCGGGATCATGAAGTTTATCAGTTCTTGCTTGGTTTTAGTATCTAATAGTCGTATGTTGCCATTAACCCATAGAGCAATGAAAGTTGCATGTCTTACATTTTCCAATTGGAACTTGGAACTTAGAATGCATCAATTATATTCAGACAGCCATATTGCTACATAGTTCAATTGTTGTGCGATTGCACCAGCTTGAATGATATGCTTCGATATTACTATTTCTTTTCAACCAATAAGATAATCGAAATACTTTAATCTTATGAGGGTTAAATTGAAAGAACAAGAAGAAATTGTGTTATCAAAACTAGTTTTCCCTCATGGCAAGGACTTTCTTTGTCTCTATGTCATCATCTTCTACTTTATCAGCTTTCATACGGTCCAAAACACTATTTACTTCTTTACCACTTCTTATATATGCCTTCAACAAGGCATGATACATCTGCTTGTTCACTGGGATTAGATTCCTCAGTAAACCAACAAAAGCTTCCACATCTTCAACACTGCCTTTATCACCAAGCCAACTCAATATGGTCGTGCTCACTCTAAGGTTAGGCTTCCATCCTTTCTCTGCAGACAGACAGAGGGCAGCCTTCATGCACTGAAAAGCTTTTTCCGTCTCGCCCTTATTCACAAATCCAGCCGCCACTATTTCCCAACTTTTAGGGGTGGTTGCTTTCCCCTTCTCCATTAAGTCTTCAAGCATTGCTTCTGCTCTCTCATACAATCTCTTTACTGTGTACCCTATAATAACAGTCTGTGGCACCCGAAAATCATAACAGTTTCCGGACAATTCCCACTCCTTCACTACCTTCTCAGCTTCATCGAGCTCCCCAAGCCTCACCAGAGATATCAACATGCCGATATAATCCCTGTTTATGCATCTCTTACAAGCACTCTTCTCAAGACCCCATAATCTCAAAACTTCATCCTTGTTCCCCATATTGGCATAGAGTGAAATCAAATGATTGTGGCCAAGCCCATCTTTGTTATCCAGCCTCTCTTCCGACTTCTTTAGAGCATTAATTGCCTTATGGGTTTGGCCTTCTTTTATATAGAAATTGGCTACAACAGCATAAGTATTCCAGTCCATGACAATGTGAGGCTGGCTCTCCATCTCTTCCAAAACCTTTTCCATTCCTTCAAGATCAGACCTCACACCGTACGAATTGACGCAGATTCGATAACTGAAGTTGTCGGGCGGGACATTGTTCTCCTTCATCTCAGTGAGCACACCGGGAACCTTCTCGTGCTCACCAACATTCGTGTACAAACACATGATGTCATTGTAAGTCAGAGGCGAGGAAGCAAATCCCATCTCCTTCATTTTGCGCAAATGAGCGAGGGACTTGTCCGTTTGGAGCTGCCGGACATAGCAATTCAAAAGAGCACCATACGTCTTCAAGTTCTTATCTCCCTCCCTCAAATTGTTGAAATATTCTTCCGCGGAAACAAGCCCGCGAACCTTGCCAATCAAATCCAGCTGCACAGCATGTTCAACCGGCGAGAAGATGCATATGCCCTTTTGCTTCATCCACTCAGAAATCTGCACCCTATAAAGTATTATTACAAAAGCAAAAAATTTCCAATTAATTGGACATACAAAAACACAATCATTTACCTCACT